AGCTGAGAAGTTTTTGCGGAATTACTGTAAGCAACCGGTTCCATCCTCGGCTACTCTGCGGAGAGGCTATCTTAAGAGCATCTATGAAAGCAAGGTAGACTTCATCAGGACAAGTGTGGCCGATGAACCCATCTGGATTTCGATGGATGAAACTACCGATTCCATGGGCCGATTCGTCGCTCACACAATTGTCGGGACGCTGGAAACTTCACTGAGCAAGAGCTTCCTCTTGAATGCGGAATGTCTCGAAAAGACGAACAGCACGACAATTTCACAAGCCTTCATGAACTCGCTTTCTCTACTGTGGCCGGACGGCGTCAGACACGCCAAGGTATTGCTTTTCGTTACTGACGGCGCCGCTTACATGCGAAAAGCAGGCTCGGTCCTGCAAGTATTGTTTTCGAAAATGCTTCATCTAACGTGCGCAGCGCACGCTGTGCATCGCATAGCAGAAGAAATCAGATCAAAGTTCCCTGATGTCGATGAACTCATTTCCAATGGAAAAAAGATTTTCCTCAAGTCCGCCGCGAGAGTGACGGTGTTCCGCGAAATCGCCACCGGAGTCCCGTTGCCCCCGCAGCCTATACTGACGCGATGGGGGACGTGGCTGAATGCCGCGAAATATTACGCCGAGCATTTCGTTCCGTTCTCGAATGTTGTCCATGCTCTGGACGCGAACGATGCCGCGAGCATAAGAGAAGCTCTAGATCTGCTGAAGAGGCCTGCAGTGAAGGAGGACCTCGCTTTCCTCAGAGCATTCTTCGACTGCGTCCCAAGAGCGATAGAGAAATCGGAAACAACAGGAGCTCCGCTCACAGAGAGCATCAACGTCTTCGAAACGCTACTCGAAGAGTTGCGGAAAACTCCGGGCGACATAGGCGAATGCGTCCGCAAAAAGTGCGCAGCAATCGTAGCTCGTAATTGTGGCTACGGAGTCCTGAAGAAGGTTTCGAACGTTCTACGTGGGGACAACACTCAGGATGGCCCCGTTGGTTGGGATCCATAACTGATCTCCTCGTTCAAATATGCGCCGATCACATCGGTCGACGCCGAAAGAAGCTTTTCCAGTCTGCTGAAGTACGTGCTCAACGATCGACGTCACAATCTCACCTTCGAGAACTTGAGGATTTATCTTGTGGTATTTTGTAACCCGTGATTTAAAATAAGAAGTATATATGACCGTGAATCGAATCTCCACATGTATGCAAATAAAAAAGTGGTTTTCTTGTGGTTCTACAACTGCTCTCAGCTCCTCATAATCGGTGCTTTCGGTGCATATTTCATAGTTTTGAGTGCATATATGGCCCGATTTTGGGGCATGTTTGCATGCATATTTCCGGTGTTTTTAGTGCATGAAGTCCCGGTCTCTAGTCATAGCACTCAGCTTCAGCGAAAATCGTCACGGAGAGGGAAATCACTACAGAGCGCAATCAGCCAACCAGAGACCGGCGAAGAGTGTGTCGCCTGGGAGAGGAGGAGCGCCAGCAGCACAGAGCAGCATAGAGCGCAGCTCCACCGAGACCGGCGAAGAGAGTGTCGCCTGGGAGAGGAGGAGCGCTGACAGCACAGAGCAGCGTAGAGCGCAGCTCCACCGAGACCGGCGAAGAGAGTGTCGCCTGGGTGAGGAGGAGCGCTGACAGCACAGAGCAGCATAGGATACCGTCTCACAAGCCAGAATCGCAGGAGCCGGAACCGCAGAAGCCAGAATTCTCAGGAGCCAGAAATCTCGGGGGCCGGAACATTGGCTCAAGGTTGGTTGGAATTGTGCCACCTCGACGCAAAGCCCAGCTTGACTTGCGGGCGGGGCCCTCATGTATTAAACTCCGATAAACCTTCAAGCTCATTGGAAGAAAGAATCACAATGCTTTCGTTTCACGGATGTATTGCATTCCTACCCCGCTCACAGAGGGGATCTTATATTATTGGAGTCATCTCTTACAATTTCTACTTCTTGAAGATGAAAGCGACGCTGAAAATGTATTCCATCAGGCGAACCAAATGATCGTTCAAGAAGTTGGGCCCCAATTTCGATTCGCGAGCCGCAACCACTCTCGCGCTTCGCGAGGATCCAGATCTGTGAGATGCAGCTTCGTTTTTCTGTGGTCAGGTACGATCAGGGAACGGCGAACTCTGGCTAACGGGATTTCCGGCTTTGGCGATTCTGGCTTTCGTTAGTGATCCGCATCATAGAGGGCAGCTCCACAAAGCGCAGGCTCTCAGACACTCTAATTAATCAGAGATGATGAGTAGGGCTGAAGGTTTTTCGCGGAGGATTCCCGCCAAATTCGCGGAAATCCGCGGCCTCCATCGGAACTCTATGAGGGGTAGCCAGAAATTTTCACGAAAGTTCGCGGAAAAATGGCGGTCCGCGAAGAATCTTCAGCCCTAATGATTAGTAACTGTTGTTCCTAGATTGGTCGAAGGCTAGGTTTGGTAGATCAGCGGGACACGTACGAGCTCAGAGAGGACAACCGGAGGTTGAGATGGGAGCACACCGCAGTGATTTTATTGGAGAAAGTGTCGTCTTATATTTCAGTAGGTCGACCCTTTCCGAGAGGCACAGTTCGTAAGGCATCGAGTAAGATTTCCAGATGGTTACTAAATACGGAATCAGAAGAGAGGCCTGATGAGTGGAGCCTCTGACATGTGTCAGAGCTGGAGCCTCTGGCACGTGGCACAGTACTGAGTCGGGGTGTACCGAAATAGATCTGACAGAAAGCTCAGCTTAGAAGAATGAGTGTAGCTATTCTAAAGTTAGTCTCAATAGTAACACATCCTGAGAGAAAGATTCGTCGCGGGCTCGAAACCGACTGCGAGAAGGACGATTCGAGAGAGGAGGCCGACTGTTTCGTCTCAACAGTCAAGCCAAAGAAGAGATTGTTGTGCGGGGATACGAGGTGAGGGAAAGCCTTCCCTGAAGGTACTTCGCGCCGAGCTGCAATGACGGCAGATATCGGGGAGGCTTTTTCATGGTATGAAATAACGTAGAGCGATCCGACAGTTTTGCGCTTCGGGAGGCAATTGGGAATCTCGGATGACTTGGCGACACCCGTCAGAGGGATATGGTTGTGAATTGTGAACCAAAAATGTGATCCGTGTTCTGATCTGCTCGTCGTCGGTGCGCATCAGAGGTGATCGACACCATCTGCACGCATGCGAGAATACACTTCCGAAGCATGCTAAATTACTGAGGGAGATGACCGTCTGTCTGTGTATGAGCCCACTGTCCCGAAAACTCATTGGCCCGAAATCTCAATGGCCCGGGAAACCAGTGTCCCGAAAACGCATTGGCCCGAAAGAATGAAAGCTCGGCGTAGCTCCTGTGCGGAGATGTGCATGAAGGTCCCGTCCATGTAAATCGCGTCAGCACGACAGAGGATCGTCATAGCTTCCTCGGTCGAGAAACCGAGGATTCTGTCCGTGGTTCCGTCGTCAAAGACTAATTATAAGAAATCCTCCCCGTCCAAGGTTCTTGTCCACGTATCGCGAAGCACGATATCAGACCGACTTAACGGCAGCACCGGTCGAACCTTAGCTCGCTGTCGATGCAAGGAGCTTCGGACCTCTTCAAAATTCGGCAGAGCAGCGCCGATCTCTTCGGCGGCGTGATCTTGTCGAAGATTTGCAATACTTCGAACGAGGACTTCCTGATACACTTGTTTACATGATTTGTCCGGTCGAAGCAGAAGCGTTCGTTTCATCTCTGTCTTTGCAGCGCGTCTGATGCGATCACGACGTTCCTCTTCGTGAGTATGAGTCCCGGACGTCCTGATAATTTCGGCATCGGCTCCCTTGGAATAGCGAAACGGAGACTCAGGCGCGTTTTCGATTTCGTATACCCGGAATATCACGATCGATGATCAGTGAGATTATCTATCAGGATAAGTGAGAATCTATACCTTGACGACTATGATTCGAGCAGAACAACCGTCCGACTTTCTTCGAATGCGCCGACAATAATGATTCTGTTCGTTCTTTTTGTCGACTTCGAAGAGGAAATCGTTGACACGGTAGAGACTATTCGCCTAAGCAGACTCTATTCCTTCCGGTATCATTTTCCCGTCAACGCGAGAGACACAAACGATCGCGCAACAGTGACTTGCGGAGCATCCACATGTCACATTCAGTCAGCTGATGAAGCCCGCGCAGAGAGAATGAAGGATAGAGATAGAGAGGCGTAGAAGTCTCCACTGCGGCTCTCTCGCCACATCTCCGCATAGAAGCTTCGCTAAGCTCTAAATTTTTCGGGGCAATGCGCTTTCGGGACAGATCCCGTTCGGGACACTGGGTTTTCGGGCCATTGAGATTTCGGGCCATTGACTTTTCGGGCCAGTCAAGCCAGAGGAGAGAAAGTGGTGGGCTAGTAGTGATACATGAGCTGATTTGCGGTCAGCTCTGTAAAATGTCATATGATCTCTCATTGATCAGTAGCGTCATGGGTCGCACTTCAGTGGAAACCGATATAGAGTGTTTTCCACCCTCATATGGGCGAAAATAAAACAGTATCAAAGCGAGAAAAAAAAACTGGCGTCTTCGACGCAAACATAGATTCGGCCCTCGGCCGAACAGCCTTTTCGTTCACTTTCACCTCTATTCCAGGCGGGAAATTCTCTTTCGGCACAAGTTTTTTCTTAAAGACAACCATGGGGCGTAACTTCTCGCCGGCGGCTGTAACGCACAGCACGACGGTCACATTATTTTTTTCACTCCCTGTCGAGTCTATTTCGATTCCGTCACTTCCTTTCACTGCAACGGTTCGACCGTACACGAGATCAAACGGAACAGGAACTTCATCCATATTTCCGATATTTTCGGGCAGAATACCTGCGCTGACCGCCGCAACGAAGTTTCGGAAAGTAGTTATCTTCTCGAGATGGTCCGGTGGGAGAGGTTGCCCGACGCTGGTTCGCCTTCTGAGAGAAAGACGTCAGCCTCCATCTTCTCATCGTATACCGCTCCATGCCTGAAGGCCCTCCGATCTCTGTCAGCATCTCTCAGCCTATCCTCCTTTCTCTTCCAATCATGAAGCATGCTCTTGGTGATCCCGAATTAGATCGTCGTTGCAGTTTGACCGTAGATTTTATCGTAATCAATCGCTTCGAGCTTACGTTTGGCGGTGTAGGAAACTCTTGTAGTTTTCATCGCGAACTTGAGGACAGAGTCGGGGAAGTTACCGAGAAGGATCAGGGATGGTCTAATTGAGACAGCGAAGTTGGGATCGACGTTCACTGACTGCTGCGGAGGATGGAATGAGCGAATCAAGGTTGAAGTGCGATGTTCAGTGATTTCGCTCATTCCAGTCGATAATTCCTGTCGGAACATTCCTTTGATATGCAGAATCTTATCAAGAATGATGTCTGATTCGATCGCTGCTCGTAGGCACGAGTTTGCCATGTCCACAAGAGCGAAAGTCCGTCACGAGATGCGAGATCTCCGAGATCTCCTCTTAGGCCTGTTTCAAGCCTCTGTAGTTTCTACTGGTATTCCGAGAGTCTAAGGTGGGTTCAGCTACGGGAGCTCATTCAATTCTAGGAATCTTGCAGAATCGACTCTCCCAGTGAGAAGTTTTGGAGGTTTCTCTTCCCGCGAGATTCGTTATACGGAAAGTTCGTCGCGGCGCCAAGTGCGCGAAGTGCTGTGTATCTTCGGAGGTAGCTCAACAGCTGTTCCGGGCGAGCCTCTGCGGCGGTGGCTTGATCAGCTCCTTCGACGAGCTCGCCGTCAGATGACGTGGCTTTATTGTTATTCTCCTCGAAGTTGAGAATCATCTCGATCGGAAGGGCTCTGCGAATCGTTTGCTCGTAGGGTAGAGCTATACTTCGCAGGGGCACTTTGACTGCGGTCAACGAGAGGATGGTTCCGTGCGTGACGTTCAACAACTCGCGCAAGCCTGTAGTGTCGTTAGGATTTCGCACGCTGGGTACGTGTACGATGTTGGCGAGAACATCTCTCTGCCGGAGCTCTGGCACATCGTAATTGTCGTCCAACAGCATCAACGCTACCTCG